TGTGTGTGTGTGTGTGTGTGTGTGTGTGTGTGTGTGTGTGTGTGTGTGTGTGTGTGTGTGTGTGTGTGTGTGTGTGTGTGCGTGTAGAGGGTATCCAGTAACTCACGGAAGAGGTGCGGTGTCCAGATAGATTAGCTCAAACAGAATAAAAAATACTTCTACTATTTTGCGAATAAAATCATGTAAAATATAAGTTATTAATCAAAGAAGATTCATGTGCCATACGGTAAATGAGCTATGATAGCGACGTCTGCCACTGTAGATTTATATATTAAATCAAACTAAACAAAAAAGTTCCCTACCATTTTTCAAATAACCATGGTTAGTTATTAATTAAAGAAGATTGGTATACAAGATTTGTACACATTAATGCATCAATTCGCTTGAATTAATAATTAAACATCTACGTGATCATTTGAAAATGGTAGAAAATTATTTTGTTTAATTTGACTTAATATCCGATTAACCAGACTTAATATAGGTAGAACACAAAATCATTTTGATATCAAGATGATATCATTTTAACATCGATGTCATGAAATTGTTATGAAAATGGTATCGTTTGATATCAAAATGACATCAATTTTATATCATTTGATGTCATTTTGACTTTTATATGACTTTGTGTTCTACTTAGGTATACTAATATACAACAATAAACATTATCATTACAGGTCATATAGTGCATGATTGTTCATAAATTTTCTTTAATTAATAACTCAAAATGTTACATAGTTGTTCGTAAAATATAGAGGACTTTTTTGTTCAATTTGACACCGCAATTTCTCCGTGAGTTACCGGACATCCTGTATATGATTTTGTAAATAAAAACATATATTGTAGACAATATATAAGACGTAATATTGAAATATTCAGATATTGAGACACGGCGATCGGACATTGGACGATGAAATAAAAAAATGGTTTCCAAATGACCCAAATAAAAATTACAATGACTATCCAAACAACAATGGCCTTTTAACTGAGGTAATGCTCAATATATTATAAAGTACATTGAACCAGATGGTTCATACTTTTATTTTGAAAATCACTAGACGTAACACGTGTCGTATATTTAAAATAATTCCTAGAAATTTAAAATTAACATTAATAACCGGTGTTAATATTACAACAGCGAATATGAATAATGTCAGTGCAGATATAACGACTTAGGCAATAACTATATTATTACCTTAAATATCTCCATTATTTAAAACAATATAAAAAATAGTGTCTACAAAGCTTTATAGTTTCGAAGGAGACATAACATAGTGACAATTTTTTTTATTTAAGGTGATCTTGACATTAGACTACGTTTCCATAAACATTGATTTAAAATATTAAAATATACTCTGTACCTTTATGTTTTTATGTTTGCATATATTTTAATAATCTTATGCCACACGAATATACATTTTATATATATCTTTCGATAGCAATTACTAAAATTATCATAAAAATATACAATATTCTATTAAAAAAGTTTATTAAATATAACAAAAGAAGCATGGTATGCTTCAATCGGTCTGTTCTCTCCCCTTCTCTCCCCCCCCCCTCTCTCTCTCTCTTTCTCTCAATGAATCTTCTTCTTTATTAAACACACAAATCAGATTATCCAACCATAAAATCTAAATAATTATATAAAAACGCGTCATGCGCTAAACTGTTTCTTTAACTGTTAATATTAATTTTTTAACTTTCAAATTTCGTATTTTCGAGAATGAATTCACGAAAACAAAATCAATCTACAAGTTCGACTTATTTTTATATGTAAAGTCATTCCTTATATGTACTTTTGCACCATTCTTGTAGAGAATTGAATCCAATACTTTATTTCGTTTTTTTTGTAACATTTTTTGTAAAGACATCAAGGATAAAATATAGAGAAACACATCTATATTAACCCGTAACAGATACCATGAGATCCCAGGGACCCTCACTAATTTTATTTTCGTGATAATTTCTAAATTATCCACTGTATGGCGCTAATATCTTCAATATCTTTCAAGTAACAGTTTTCAGTGTGACAGAAGAAAAGATCATCGAGTTATTTGTAGCTGTAAATTATATGCATTTGTTTTGCGTCTGGGATCATAGTGACCTCATTGTACCGTTAACATTACTTTTATGAAAATAATTTTCTTAATCTTCACGTAAAAGAGTAAAAGCTCTTGCCTTTCAGTTAGTAGAACTTGAACTTAAGAGATGTCTTACAACTCAATATATTCATAAGCCATTGCGTTTAATAATCTCATCTATTTTAAAAATTGAAGAAACTGAAAGATCTAAAATTATTTTACCATCCAGAGTAAGATGTAATAAATGTCCTAGAAGTAAAGATATGAAGTCCAAAAAAATATATGTTAGATGCAATGAACCAGTATGCATCAAATGTGCAAGCACTATCTGTAACGATTGCATCTAAAAACCCTCTAAGATTTTAATATTGTATTTAATTTAACAATACTTGTTTATATCTTTTATATAATCTATAATTTGTAGACTTAGATTAAAACATAATTTTTTTCTTTTTCCGATTATTTGTCTTTCAGTGTATTTTATTTCAATACTGTCCACATTGTATTTATTTTATAATCAGTTAACGTTTTCTTTTAGATTACTGAAAAACTGAGACTGTTATTATATATGTCTAGTTATAATATAATATTCGTAAAGTATTATTTTCGAACTATAAAGCGTTTTTCTTTCTACTTTTTACTATCATGTTAAAAATGGTAAAAATTTATTGGGGTCCGCCGGACCTCATTGTACTTATAACTTGACTAAAAAAAAGGCATGGTACCTGTTACGGGTTAACGATAACATCGATATTTTCCTCATCCTTGAGTTTTTCATAGAAAATGTTACTCCTTGATTTTCAAATCTCTCTCTTCTACAAAAAAGAAACTAATAATATAACCGCCATTTTTTCTCGTTTTCTATCCTCATATTATTACAAAGGCTGGCAAGGAAAGAGCGTTTCAATTTGGACAGATGCTAAAAAAAACTTACGGTCGTTTCCTCGGAGATATATATTACCCACCAAATGTTTACGCACGTAGCTCGGCAATCCCCAGGACCAAGATGACTCTGCAATTAATACTCGCGGCACTTTACCCGTCTGTTAAAAGTAAAAAATTGAATGCGAAGTTGGGTTGGCAGCCAGTAGACATGATATACACCCGTGTGTCTGAAGATGGTTTAATATTTCCATACCACTGTAAAGAGTAAGTGATCTGATTTTTTTTCTACAAATCAATAACGATAAGTGGTATATGTTTTATCTCATTTCTTCGGTATATTGTAACGGCGTATTGTAAATATTAGATGAATATAAAATATTTGTCATTTTTATACTAAATTCTCGTAAGAAGTTTGGATATTGAAAAGAAAATATAAAGTTTGCACTAGATGTATAAAAAAATATCGAGTCAATGTTGTTAATTTTATTCATAAAAATTATTAATCCTACGAAATCTAATAATTTAATTTTCGATTTTATTTGACTAACACGACAAACTTCTTGCACTAATCTAATTGCGACGTTTAATCGATTGATCAGTTGCTCGAATAGAAATCAATTTTAATATAAATTCATTTGAATCTTCCGTCGCTTTTTCAATATAAATTCGCTTCTCATTATATGCTTAAACATCTTGAACAAATCTTATCGCATTATTTGTAATATAACTATCACTTTCGTAAATTTGTATTATATAAATTGATGTTTCGAAACATCGTAGAATTTTTATTCTTTTTAATTTCTGTTTTGATAGATATGAGCAAGCTTACGTTAACATACTAAAAAGTAACGAAGTGAAAATAAAAAATAATTTTGGTAATCTGATGGAAGATTTGTCAGAACATGTAGGAAGAAATATTACTAGTCTTTTCGACCTCTATGTTTTATATAATATTTTCCTCATACAATTATCCATGAACCTAACTTTGCCTGACTGGTCACGCGATATATTTCCACGCGGCAAACTTCAGGATGCCAGTCTTTTCCAATTGAAATTGTACAACTACAATGACGAGCTTATTAAACTTAATGGGGGTAAGTTTAAATCAAAAGCATATATATCTTACGAATTATCTAATTACTTAAGAAAATACCAGTGTTTATACAGTCAAATATAAATCTATAATTTATATATAATGCAAAAGTTAAATTAACAATATGTAACAGAAATTTTGGAAATTTTTACCGTATTTCGAGATATTTAATTGTAAAACTGTATTGCGCAAGCATTTGTGCAGTCTCTTTAACAGAACAAATTTTTTTCTAATTTGATACTTTTATAAAATAAAATTTTGAAAAACACGTCATAATAAAATAAGTGTTGTAAGAGTGAAATTAATATTTAAGCATATTTTAGTAAAATATCATTTACCGTTAGGTTGAAGAGGAATTTAGATTTGTCGATAAAAATGTTCGTGAAATTGACAATACAGCGTGTTTGAAAAGTCCCAGCATGGTCTAATTTGTCGAAAAGAAAGCACCTAAAAATAAAGTTTTAAACAAAGGTATAATAATGCTATCGGCTTGACTTTGCAGTGAACGCGCTAAAAAAGAGTATTAAGATGAGGTTGTTGGAAAATGAATATTTTTTTTAAATATATCATACTTTCATATCATGTATTCTGAAAAATATCAAGATAAAATATAGAATATTTCAAAAAGTATTCATTTTTCAATAATTTTATCCTATCTTTTATATGCATAATGACTTCAAGAAATGGTTTATGTTAAAAAAACCATATGATTTCGTATTTTTAAGAAATTCAAACTGATCTTGAATATTTTATTTTCTTTGCGCGTTTACCACAAATCAATAGCATTATCATACATTCTATATTGAAATCCTAAAACTTTGGTTTAAATTTTACTTTTTAATGTTTTCTTCCTAAAAAATTAGACCGTTCCATGCGTTTTCTAACATTCTGTATAACATATAATATATGATATTACACTCTATATAACGTAACATATGTAATAAACTAGCGTTAAATCTGAAATAACCTCATAATATCACACACACATACTCACACACACACACACACACACACACACACACACATTTCTATGATTATTTTTATATTTATTATTCATTTTAACATAACATCTATGCATTTCCAAAAAATTCAAATTAAATGAAATTCATCATTTATCAAATACAATAACAAATATATCTTTTATATATATATATATATATATATATATATATATATATATATATATATATATATTTCTCTTTTCTAACACTTGATATTTACATTGGAACGAATGTCTTATAATTTTTATTTTAGCACTTTTAAAATAAAAAAACGATAATATATTTTGTAATTTATGAATGTCTCATCCCACTAATATTATTGCAGAATTATTTCTTTAGTGATTCTAAACTATTTTATTGATAAAGTACTGATTGACAATAGAATATCGCTAGGAGTTCCTCAAAAAATCATTTTCTGCACGATCATACCAATTACGAAAATTTAAATTAATTATCCCAACAATTTAAGATTTAACCAAATAAAAATACTACAATTATAGTATGAACTACTTAAGAATATTATACCAATAAATATCTTTACAAAATACACACGTGTAATCCTTTTTAGGTGTATTATTGTATAAAATAATCCAGGACATGATTGGAATAATGAATGGAACTTTAGCAAATAGAAAAATCAATATCATTTGCGGACATGACGTAAACGTAGTGGCTATGCTTTACGTTCTGGGTATATACGATAACAGTTTTCCAGCGTTTACCAGCAGCGTCATCATGGAACTACGAGAAAAGGACGGCAAATATTTTGTCCGAGTAAGTGTCAAATCGTTGTAATACTATCACATCTCGAATCTCCCGCAATCGCTAATGTCACACGTGACATCTTATCTGCTCTTGTTTGCCCGAGCACGGTAACGCGATCAACAATGGCTAATAGTAAGGAATCATTTTGCAGGTGCTACGTTACTTAGGTATACCGTCATCTTTAATAGAAGTAAAAATTCCCGAGTGCGATCCGCTTTGCCCGTTCGAGAAATTCGTTCGTCTGAGATTATCGATGACTGCTGTACGCGAAGACCCAAACTGTCCGCTGTCGATTCCTTTGTTCTAAGGACGATCTGTATAGTCGCGAATGAGAATTATTATTCACGCTATGCAGCGACGATTTGTTTTGTGTTTTACGAGAGCTGCTCCAAGCTACCAGCACGTAGTTCAGAGTTTCGCCCCGTAAGTTTGTGTAATCTTTTTAACCGGCCGTTATATTACGATGGTGCTATCTGGCGACGGCGCGTTTCGTTACGTTTCCTCATTATACGCGATATCGTGGCGTTGAAAACTAGATGCCCATACGCGCGATCGCGGAAAGTTAAGTTCGTTAAGTATGCCCGTAGTCGTGTCTTATCGAGGACACGGAGCTCAGATCCTCCGCCTACCGTGCCGCGGCATAACAATTACCCTATTATTTCGCACACACCACCGCCGGCAATTCGTTGGGCCTATACGCCGCGCATTTCCGTTTCGAGATACACCTCTGACTTCCATTAAGGGTAAATCTTTTCGGTCGTTGCGTAAGCTGATATCAGCGTTCAGGTTTAATCCTGCCATTCGGTGTTATCAACACTCGCGTCAACGTCGACGGACATTACCTGAAATATATCCGTCGTTTGTGCTCTTTTCCACAGAGTGCTTCATCTGTTAGGATAATCTGATTATTGTAAATTATTTCGTTGCAATTAAGGCTCAATGACGAGGATACATTATGTAATATCGACAGACGATTTCTGTAAAATGTAGGAACTACAGCAAATAATATCTTGTGCGAGCGCAGAATTAGAGAGATTGTTCTTTGAATTTTTAAAATTATCACAGAACTCGTCGCTGGAAGAATAGGAGGCTTCAGCTATTCTAAAGACGAACTTCGTCTCCCTTTTTCCCTTTTCTTTCGTGCCGGACCATCCTTTTCTATTATCCCTTTTTCTCCTGTAATCCTTCCCTCGCTCCTTCGGGATAAACTCTTGAAATTTCCGAGAGTTGCCCGGATGAGAAGAACCAGTTCCGCACTCCTAATTCTGCGGAATTAAACTCGCGAAATCGTTCTAATTGCGGACACAGAGTGCCGGGGCACTTACATCGAATCCTAGCTAGTTGTATTGCATTTTCCTGATGTAACATTACGATCGAATTAATCACTACAATTGATCGTCAACAAGTAGTTGTTGGATTATACTTAAACCGGAAAACGCGCTAATCTGTTAATCAATTAATTTAATCAATTAATTTACAACCGATGGAAAAAGCACTTTTTTAACAAATATAAACTTCTTTTAAAAATCTCAAAAATCCTAAAAAGCATGAAAAAGTGTTGACTCAATACTCCTATATACTTTCAATCCTAACCTAATATCCTAATGATATTAATCGTTAAATCGACAATAAATTAATTGTTAAATCGACGATAAAGTAATTGTTAAATCGACGACAAATTGACGCGGAAACCTGATTGATTGAATCAACAATTATACACGTTTAGAGACATTTTGTATTTATATTGAAATATCTCTCTCTCAACTCATGTAAAAAGTTTTAATATACTTGCGTTAATTTAACATTTTTTTTTTATTACTCTGTATTCATATTCACCATGTCTAAGTATTAAAATAGCATAATTTGAAGTAACACAATTTTTTATGTGACATGTATATTCTTAATGACATATTTTGCATATAAAGTGTAGATAAATTATATTATGTGTTAATATATTATATTTGCGTTAAATTTATATAATTAACACAAAAATTAAAGTGCATAAATTAAAGTAAATGTATAAATGTAAATTATGTGTTAAATTTAACACCAATTTTTTTACAATATATCTATTTTTATTATTTATCTCTATACAGTTATATGTAGGAAATTACCTATCTAATTTGTTTTCTTTGCACTGACTTCTAATATCGTTAGAATATTAAAATAGAATTATAGGTACATTATAGGAATATTGAGTCAACAAAATTTCATAGTTTTTAGAACTTTTGACGTTTCCAAAGACTATTTTTGTTTACAATCTTTTTTTATTTAATACTTTTTAATTATTTATAAAATGTTTGTTTCTAAAATCGGGTAAAAGACATTTTTTTTTTAATTTGGTTAAAAATAAAAGCTTTGTTTTGTATGTCTAGATATGTTCTCAGATCTCCAAAAAATAATGCACACAGAGAAATATCATTCTCTCTACTGCTAAAAGAAGTGATTACTCGGTTTATCTTCCTTTTTTAAATAATGGTTATCTTCAATAAAAAATATTTTCTTATTAATCGTCTTAAAATATATTCATCACAAATTTTAGAAAAAGCTCATTATCATGTACTCAAAAGAAAAATTTGTCTTTACAAGAATATTGAAAAACTATCGCAGAAAAGATTAGTTCGTCTTTACAGTAAATAATTCAAATTTTTGTTTTGGTTTCATATTCTTGATTGAAATACTAAACCTGCTAAAATTTAGAATAAATTTTGGGTAAATTTGATACTAATAATGAATTTATAATAGATTTCCGGGTGTATATAAACTTATGAAATACTTATGAAATACTTTAGACAACGAATATTTACCCGATTGCAGTATATATATTTTTGTGTGTAAAACTCAATTTCCTAGACTCAATTTCCTCAAGTTACCTAGACAAATCCGATTATGATATTGATCTAAGTATTATATAGATAACATACATAGATGATAAGTTATAAAAAGTTTCATCTCAATATCTCCAACGAGTTCTCGAGTTATAAGATAACATACAAACGAACACGCATACAATACGAACTGAGAATTTTCTTTCTTTGAAATCAATTCAAATACGTTATTTTATGTATGCACCTATACGTTAATGCAAAATATTTTTGAAAAAATGTAGTTATTTTTCCAGATTGTCGAGTTAATTTTCAGTTATTGATATGAACTTCTATTATATCCGACGGTGAAATTGGTGCGAAATTTTGATAGCTTGCACTCGCGAATTTCATTTCACGCATTTCCGGATTTTGATGTCAGGCATTTGCGGACTTTTAGTACCAGACGATCGAATCGTGGACGGAAAAGTGTAGTAGCTGGCAAAATGTTCGCAATGGAGAAGTATTCTGAGGCCACAGAAGAGACCAGCTACAGTTCTTTTTAACTACAGTTTCTCTATACTTGTCCTCTCTCTCTTTCTGCCCCTACTCCCCCACTCCCCCTCCCCCTCTCTCTCCCCCACTCTCTCTCACTCCTTCCACTTTCTCGCTTCCTTTGAAACAGAAAAAAAATACGTGGTTCTCTTTTCTTCTTCAAATATGATGAATCTGTAAAAGTACTGAATAGAGCTAAATAGAGCGTATCTTAAGTTCCCAGAAACAGAAACGCAAAATTTCGGCAAACGCCGAAAAGACCGTCGTGCGAAACTTGGCTCCAAAATGCGCGCGATTTAATTGAACATTCATAATAATTTGTCTGTACAAGAGAGTGCTAACTGAAACTCTATGGTAGCGTTGCATGCGCGATTCGTCGGCAGCAAGGAATTAGCACGAGCCGTCGGGTAGACAATAAGGAATTAATTATAATTAACTGCCATTCACAAAAGTTCGCCCGCGAACAATTTTGTGGTCGCGCTGTACCGGTTATAATGAACTCACCTAGCAGCTCCTATCATTTACATATTCTTACATTCAAACTAGGTTTTCGTTTGGCTGCTGCGTTAGTTCGCGCGACAACCCTGAGAAACTTCTTTAAATTATGCTCTTTGGAATATACATACCTTTGGTAAAACGGAATGTAACATCTGCCAAAAGCTTTTCGCTGGCTCCAAAGAAATGGATTGTTGCAATGTCATCAAAATATAACTTTTCAACTAATTCTGCTCATTACATTTTTTACTTAACAAAGATCACATGTTTGTATATAGAATACCCAAACGTTTCCTTTTCTCTTTTTTTATTTAACTGTATGATATTCTTTTATGTTAATCGATTTGAAAGGATTTCGCTGGCAATAAATTCGATGGACCCAGAAAAAAATTATTATATATAACTATACAAAATTATATATAGTTACATATGTAAGTTGTATATGAATTTTGTCTTTAGACGTCGTACATATATAATCATATATCACTATACAAAAAAAATAATGTTAAATGGAAAAAAGAAGAAAAGTAATTTCATTAAATTAAACTTCGACATGTGCTGCCAGAAACATAACCATTTACTTCAATTTGTATAACAATTTTTTCTTTCATTGTGGACGCAATTACGCAAGATTATGTTTGGCTATATATGGACAGAATTCATATACATCTTTTTTTTCTCGGGGAGTTTTTTATGTACCATTTACTTATAATGTAATGTGCTGTTATATGATAGTACAGTACTGAGCATTTGTGCAATCAAAAAGATTTAACAATAATAATATGGTTCTAAGTGAACGTATTAAGCTAATGTGAATTAGTATTGCATCTTAGCTTCGATTAACGAGTACGGAACTGGTGCACTTTTTTCTGACCGATATCCCCGTATGTATCGTCGTCCATGTCGCAGCTTTTCTTCATTTAAAGAAGTAGCGCTAGCCATGTGGTCTCCGTATTTACGACTTCGTCCTACAATGATGCTTGCCATGCTGCCCTATCATGTTAATCAACGTCGCGCGAAACCTCGTAAAACCATGGCGATGTTAGATGTTATTAAAAAAGAAGAAAAAGCTAACAAAAGCGAAAACAGAGGTTCAAAAAAATTAATTTACACCAACTTCGAGCACGTAACGTTGAAAAAAAATTTCCGCAAACTTTGGATAAATAATTTTTTTAACAGAACCAATTTTTCTCACAAATTTCTATAGAAATCGCTCAGCGCTCACCGGCTGAGTTCACGAACCTTAATCCTTAATACGTATAGAAGCTGTCTTCGCAAGATCTTGCAGTATGTACTTTTTTTCACGACTTTCCCGGTTCCTTCGATCAGATGCTTTTCCTATTTTCCAGGTGACATTTTTTTAAAGAGATTTCCATAAAATGATGATTCGTCTTCCGGAGATCGTTGCCTCCCGATTTGAGTTCTCCGGAACTCACATATTTTGTATCATGTATTTAAAAATTTCAAAAATTAGCGTTCGCTACACCATGCATATATACGTACATATTGAGAAATGTAAGTGCATAACATACGTACATGTGTGTGCGCGCGTGCACACACACACACACACACACATACATCTGGTTGACATTCATTCGGTAGTGCATTATCAGTTCGCTTCGCGCTCATAGGAAACCGCAATTTCCACAAATTACACGGATGAAAACTGACTCTTGCGACTGTACACCGCCGGCTACAGCGCAGTGGAATTCATGGGTCGCGGGTTATGCCGCATTCGGTGGTATGTAGTAATTAGCAACATTGCTCTCAGATCTCGTAGATGGGAGGATCAGGGAAGGGTCGAGGGAACGGCAGGAGGGGACGAGAGGGGGGCGGGAGGGGCGAGGGGGAGAGAGTGTGGAGGCTGGCGAATCCACCGCCACAGATTTCATTCGAAGGAATAGAACGCACAGCGGCGAGATATTATCTTGCCTGTTGTGCCGGGGCTATGACGTTTAATGATCGGATGCGTCGAAACTCGAAACCGCCGGAAATTGCGACAAAAATTCTGCAAACGCTTTCGTCTGACGAATTGTTGAATCCTCGGAGGCTGGAAGCTCGAAATCTCGTGGAATTCACGTAAAAATTACCGCGTCATGTAATTCGACACGACACTTAGGAGAGTAATTATCAAGCGAGCTCTGTCCTAATAAACCCTATTGTTCGGTATTAGTTTCAGTCTAGATAGATTCGCTACGGTTATTCTACTTGCGAGAGGAAATTGACAAGGGAAAAATTTATGTAAGATTAGCATCTTTCGTTTCTAATATGAAGGATGTTGTTAAACTTACCGTCAAAATGATTCTTCATCATATACAATAAAAAATGTTTTGTTTCTGTCGAAATCGATCCGTGTGGAAATTTTTGTGTCAAATTTTCAGTCTTAGTTCATTTAAGTTTTAATCATCTTCAGTACATATCCGTGTGTCAATTTAACATATTGTCGTTGTATTATTTTGACTATCCTTTGCGTTGAGTTTATATTCACCATTTTTTAATGTTAATTTAGAAATTATGAATGACAATAACACAACTTATATATACATGGAATATTTGTATAACACAATTTATATGTAGTATGTACATATTTCCTTCTTATCTTAGTGACATATTTTATATGTAAAGTATACGAGTAAGTTGTTTTATTTAACATATTTACCTTATATTAAATTAACAAAAATATTGGAATGTAAATCGGTACATGTGAAATATGTTAAATTTAACACGAATATTTTTGCAATATACATTTGTTAAACAAATTTATAAAATTTATTAAAAATAATGATGTAATATACATATATTGAAGATCCTCTAAAACAAAAATAAATTTTTTTAACTTTTTTAAAGATAAAAAGTAAAGTTAAAAAATATCACTTTTTTAAAGTGATATATTAATTTTACACATATATTTAGTCTTATAAATATAAAAAAAGTTAAGTCGAAAAGTACATTCAACAATGTATAATGTTAAAAAAGAGAAATTTGG